ACAGTGAACCATCCCATAAAGCCATTAAATAAAGTAAGTTGTTCATTCTGATAAGTACATTATTTTAAATTTAATGTAATCCTTTATAATATATACTGGACAGTGCTTTAAATTCAAAGTTCACCTGAAACTATGTTCCTGCATTTTGCCTTTTCTGGAGTTCCCCCCCCCCATCTTGTTAGTTACTTTCTTACTCTGAACAGGAACAACCACCATAGGACCCATTAACCTTTCAAGTAAATTTGAATGTGGACAACGTAGTTTATAAACTTAAGGAAAGAAAACTTTTTGTAAGTTCTTTTAGAAATACAGTAGGTAGATCAACATGCTATTTATATTAAAAATATTATGTGCACAGAGCTTCTCATCATTTCTAAAATATGGATAGATTTAGTCATAAAAGAAATGTATGAAAAAAATCCCACATATTAATAATGCAAGTTAATATAAACAAAAGTATTTCCCCTTACCAAGTTTTAAAACTTCAATAAAATATTTTGGAACTTTTCTCTGCAATGAGTACCAAATCAAATAGAGAAATGTAAATAACTGTATCTGACCTACAATAAATGTAGTCTTGGTAATTTGAACTATAATTTGAACATGTAGAAATGTACAGAAGTTTCCTTTTGATAATTAAATGCTTTAAGAAAGTTGTTTAAGTAGAATGTCTTATACTACAGTCATTTCACTCAATATAACTTCTATTGAGGACAACAATTTTATTCTTATGCAATACTACTGTACTATTCTTCCTCTGATTTTGCAATAGTTTTTCTCTAATCTGTGATCAACAGATAAAATGAGTAATGTAGTGAACAACAATCATACTCTTCCTCAGGAAAAAAACAACCCTGCAAATAGAGATAAATATATTTATCAAATGGAAAAATAAAAAGTGAGAATACATTTTTATTGAAAAAACTCTACTACAACCAATAGGAAAGTTCCTCCCTTCTCCCCCCAAAAAACAAAAACAAAAAAGCCCCTCACCACTACAATGTATTAAAGAAAAAAAATTAAATGAAGCCTTTGTAAATATTTCTAGTTTCACTTTGCAATAGCTTCAGTAAACATCTACTAATACCTTCACAAAGGATAATTCTTTCTTAAGTAAAAATTCCAATTGTTAGGTATACTTAAAATGTTTTTATAAAAAAAACAATAAAATCAGCTTAAAATAAATTTATTGTACAATACAAAAAGTAGGCATAACTGGAAAATAAAGGTACATTCTTAAATATACAAAGCAAATGAAAGAAAGCTAAACAACACAAATGCTTCAATTCAAACGCTAAGAGAAAATGCACAATAATTATTCTAAAAACAAATATTTTAGGAATATATACTTCAAATAAAATGTTAACGATGCCAAAAGGAAAAAGAAGATAGACAAAGAAAACAAACAACAACAAAAAAACCACACCGCTATCCTGTAAATAAATACTTGAATATCAAGAATCAGTAGTGGCATGAAATATTAAACCCAATAATATTGGGTACTTTTCAAAGAAGTATTTTGAAAAGTATTAAGAATACTGAAGGAATAAAATGTCTTTAAAACTGGCAAAGCTTTACTTTCTTTCCTATCTCGTTTAAGTTTGTAGGCCTATTCACAATATTCTTTCTTCCACTTTTACCTTCTATGAAATTTTTCTAGATGTTTCTTAACAATAATCTCCTAGGTAACCTACTTCATTTGTAAATGTGCATTTACACATTATCAGCACAAGTGCCATAAATTAACCTAATTTTGAAATTTATAAAATATGCATACAATATAAAAGTTAATCTTCATTGTATAAAGTAAAACCATCAGATTAAAATTTAGAGCACAAAATATGAAAAAAAATGTTTTTTTTTTCCAACTAAGGAATTCAGTTACCTGAATCACAAATAACCTTAGTGAAATTTAGTAATGATGATTATAGGTGGGTATAGGATGGCAAGTCCTTGAAAGGCATGTACATAACCACAAAATCCTTGGTAAAAACCTCTGATTTTTTTTTTTGTATCTAAAACTTGACTTTTTTTTTTTTTTAAACTGATCAGTCCTGGGGCTTGAACTAAGGGCCTGGGGGCTTGTCCCTGAGCTTTTTTTTTTTTTTTGGTCGGTTGTGGGGCCTGAACTCTGGGCCTGGGAAATGTCCTTCAGCTCTTCAGCTCAAGGCTAGAGCTCTATCACTTGAGCCACAGCTTGACTTCTGTTTTTTTCCCCCCCCTGCTTATGTGGTGCTGAGGAATGTAACCCAGGGCCTCAAGTATGCAAGGCAAGCGCTCTACCACTGAGCCACCTTCCCAGCCCTGTCCCTGAGCTTTTTTACTCAAGCTAGCAGTCTACCAGTTGAGCCATAGTGCCACTTATGATTTTCTGATGGTTAATTAGAGAAGAGTCTCATGGACTTTCCTGTCTGGGCTGGCTTCAAAGTACAATCCTCAGATTTCAGCCTCCTGAGTAGCCAGGATTATATGAATGAGCCACAGGTGCCCTGCTCAATTTTAAGACTTAAGATCATGTTTTCTGTGTCTTGCGTTTTCACTAGTACCTAATTCTTCTGTAAAATCTTTTAAATTTTACAGAATTTTCCCTACCATATATAGGTCACCAAGTTTACATTCTCTATCATCCCCAACAAATTTACAAGTTTAAATATGAATTTTACTAAATAAATGAACTTCAAAGTGTAGGGGGAAAACACGGAAGGTAAATAAATGGAAGAAGGGAGAAATGTGAATAGGTCTTACAGAACTTTACAATCACTTTGCCAAGACAGACTAAAATTCCTGTGCATAATTATTTTAAGTCAGGTTATGTGAAATCTGTAGTTCTCCTAAAAACAAATTTTGATTCTCAATATTCCATTTTTATAACTAAACAAAAGAATTCAGATTTAAAAGGTATTTTTAGTAGTATACTATGTTCATCCAAATTAAAAAATGCCTTGTCTTTAAAAGAGTTCAAATAGAACAAACTTTAATATATAATTTTTCTATCACAAAAGAAATATTTAGTAGCATTTATGAAATTAAGAATAAAATTATTAGAAGCTAAAAACCAAAAATTTGCACTCATAAATATAAAAGAAAAAGTTATGTGAATAATATGAAAATAAAATTCATATTTAAGACACTATCTCTCCTTCTGAGTAACTAACCATTATAACTCATTATCTCACATTGGAAATTCTTTGGTTGGAATATTTCAGTAACTGAAAACATTCCTGCACATGGCAATTCTGTCAGAACATAGAAGTTGTAAAGTAAAAAATGTATTTATGTATCTGGTAAAATTTTTGCTAATTTTTTTAAGAATTTAAAGTCAATTTATCACTACAAATGATACATACAAACTGAAGCTACGTTTAAAATTTATTTTAAATGAAAATTTGGATTCAGAAGGCTATTGTTTGTATTTAGCATAGAAATACTTTCTATTGTCATTATCAACATCTCACCAGTTTTAAAACTGGAACAGAATGAAATAAAATTTACTAATTCAAGTGGTGGGTTAAAACTAAAAAATGACAATAGATTATCTGATTACAGAAGCAAAGTTTTAATTACATCAGAAACTTTAAAATTTTTCCTTGTTTTCTTTGTGAATAATAAAGCAAATATGCTTTACTTATTAAGTGATCTGAAGACTAAGAAATCTACTTTTAAATTTACTATCTTTATACAAAGATTACAAGCAAAAAATAAAAAATAAAAAAAGCTTTATGGCTCCAGAACCCAAGGTTAAGAACACAAAAAACTCAAATAAATATTTATAGTTTGCAAAAAGGCTAAAGATGTTTGAAAAGTTAAATGAAGAAACATTCTGTAACTAGAACCCATTTCTTTAGCTTTTCTCTCCCAGACTTTCCATTCTATATACTACAGTTGTAGAGATGTCCTCATTTGACTCAGGTGACACTTTTTTCCATACTGTCTCTTTTAAAGCAAGTTCTTGCTGGAGACTTTCATAGTCCAGTGGTCCAAAGGAATGCTAGTTGTTCAAGCAACATATATAATTTATTAGTGCACTTGAGTGAAGAAAGGTCCAAGCTATAAAATGGTATTTTTCAATGAATGTTATTAAAATTCATTAACATTTTCACCCACCACCACCTGACATCTTGCTTCATGCTACTTATGTCAGCACTTTGAAAAGTTTCATAACTGTTTTTTTTGAATAATTCTCAGATCAGAAGCTTCTTTGAAACTAACAAAAATTTAATTTGGCATCAACACAAATTTATTCAGAATGTAGTAAAAATTATTTTCTACATATAAATGCTTTATATTCTAATAGGTACTTTTACTATAAACATTTTTTATGTGGATGCAAAGGAACTGAATTAAAATTTGCCACAAGTCTCTTGATCTCTTTTTAAAAAAAGAACACAAAACTATACAGACCTAAAAACCTAAGTCCTGATTCCTAACAGTGACTCTAAAAATAGAAACAAATGTGCAATAGTATGAAGCCAAACAATATACTAAACAGAATTTCAGAAGTATAATAAAAATTTTAGTAAATGCTCATTGTAGAAAAAAGTTGTTTTCAATGGCTTAAAAACCTGTTAAGAGGCTTCATAAGGTTTCTCACTAGTACTGAATTCCTTGTTCATTTCCATACTCATTCACAAATTAGGCAGGGGTTAAAGATTTAATTCAGAACTGTAACTAACAGATATTAAGAGTAAGACAGGTCTTTTCAATTATACTTGCTGAACGTAGTATGTCTTCTTTAAATAGAATCAATTCTAATAATCTCACATAAAATAGCAGAAAACTGACCCCTGCCCTTTAGATCACTACTTCCAATTTAATAGTATAACAATATTTAATATTTATGTACTAGTAATCCAGTATAAAAATATCAACAAGTTGTTTACGTTTGTGATTGGCAAAGACAGGAGACCACTAGCATACTAAAGTTTTATTAAGTAGGCAAATCTCATCTTCTCTGTCTTAAAAGAATATTACAGAATAATTTAAGAAATAATTTCGCTTACCCTTTGATCACCACCTTCTCTTCGAGGATCAAGTTTTTTTGCAAAGTGTCTCAAATTATCATAGTTGTGGAAATTACACAGAGAAACAAGATCCTGTAGAGTTGTATACAATCAGTATTAAGAGATTGGCTATTCACTGACTACATTTATTTATATTTTAACAAACTATGCTTATTCTATCCATCTTAACTACTTAGAAACCACCAGTACATGCTAATCACACTGCACAACGCGTCAAAAAAAAAGAATGAAATCAGAATAATTTGTGAGAACACTCTTATTGATGTGACCTTTGGGCTCAGCTTAATTATCAGCATCTATAAAGCAAGATTTCTAATAACACACCACATAAAAGAATTTTATAAAATAACTATGAAATGTCATAAAAGGTTTTTATATATTCTGGTTCTGTTTATAATTCATGTTTATATTTATGGAATCTAATATTCTCTAGAATTTTTAATATAAAAATGAAAAATAAATGTGTATTTTAATTGTAAAAGTATGCAAAAATTAAGGTATTTAACATGGACTCTAAGAAGTAATAAATCTGAATAAAACCAAAAGCTGAAATATTAGCAAGAATCAGATGACAATAAAATACTAAACTAATCAACAGTATAGCAATTGAAAGTACAAGATACTTTTAATTGTAGTGCCTATTTTCTCAAAAAAGGTATTTAAGTTAGTTTACAAATATACTCCACTACACATATAAAAAATAATTAACAAAGCATAGAAAATTTTATTTTATTTATTTTTTTTGGTGTTGGTCATGGGGCCTGAACTCTGGGCCTGAGCGCTGTCCCTTAGCTCTTCTGATCAAGGCTAGCACCCTACCACTTGAGCTAAGGCGCCACTTCCAGCTTTTTCTGCTTATGTGGTGCTGAGGAATCGAACCCAGGGCCTCATGCATGCAAGGGAAGCACTCTACCATTGAGCCACCTTCCCAGCCCCAAAGCATAAAATATTTTAAAATTACTTCTATATGTTTTGCTGAGTTCTTAGAAACTAAAAATTAATTATAACAATGCAAATTAACGCACAAGCATCAAACAAATGTATTTTTCTATAGCATAATCTGTGAGAACTATCTCATAGAGGAAAATTGAAGCTCTAAGACAAAAAATGAAGAGTAAATGAACTATGAAAAATAGGTAAAAATTCAATCACTGGATGGCTCAATTTATATAATCATTGTTTTTAATTAAGAAAATATGCTTACATGACAAAAGTGAATTCCCTTAACGCTGTTGCCCATCTTGTCCAAAGGAGGTGACCAGCACATCATGCCCATGACGTTGGGAACAACCAAAAGAATGCCACCAGCAACTCCAGATTTTGCAGGAAGACCAACCTGAAAATAATTCAGTAAAATTCAGTCTTTTTCATGTAAACATTTAAAAATAAGACTGTTACATTTCATAGAGGAATTGGTTAAAAAATTATGCCACAACTTCAACAATGAAAATGTAAATCAAAACTTACCAACACATTTATAACATTGCAAATAAAAATGATAAATTATAAGGCAACTTTGCGTACATTAGAATATAGTAAATAGAGACACACTGTAGGAACTTAAAGTAGCTAAGGGTAAACTATGGAGTAACATATTTTTATTTTTCTTAGTTACATTTCCTATTTGTTCTAAAATACATAGGCTTTACCTTTAAATATAGTTATTTCAAAAGTATTTTATAACTAGAAAACTATGATAACTAGAAAACTATAAGAAATTATATCTTTGAAAATTGTTTCTATGATATACTATCAGAGACACAGATATATCGTAATTGTAATTAATCCTCTCCAAAACATTTAAATTTACAATATATAAAACTTGAAAATAATTATGATAAAAGACAAAATAATCTCAAGACAGTATCCCTGAGTGGCTTACTAACATTCAGACACTAGTTTATAGAATTATACAAATAAGAAAACTGGAACACAAAAAAACTCCCCAAAAAGCAAATAAAATCATTTGAGTTGGATCTACCTATGGAAATACAAGGAACAATGGAATATAATTAGGAAAACCTACATTGTGAAAATATACAGGATAAACAACCCACTGTTTTGAAACAAAAGTCACAAGAAAATAAGAAAGAGGTGCCATATACATTAAAACAGAGAAGTACAACTAATCATAATGAATGATGCTTATTTACAACCCAAATCAACAAAGTTTAAGATAATACAATTATATAAAATAATCCAGGGAGTATAAAAACTATCCAAATATTTTGATATACAATTTAGTGATGATTTAATAGTGGTACTATAATGTTTTGCTAATGGTCCACATAAAGAATTACATACTGAAATAGGACAAGATGGGGAAAGTAGACATCTGAACAGTTAAACAAGGCTAGTCATGTATAATTATTGAACATGAGCAATGCATAAACCCATTTATTTTCATGTTTGAAAATTTTGAAAAAATATTTTTCAAAAGAATATTATGGGATGATTGAAGCAGGATGAAATAAGACTACACATTTTATAAGTGGCAAATATGCAACAGAGCTTAAAGCATAATTTTAAATTTAAACTTTAACACACTTTGATGTCTTTAAAACATCTATGGCTATAACCAAAGATGTTATGCATCACATCTATGTTCTTTAATGTAAGGAATTTTTCGGTATATAGTAATCATAATTGTAGACATTTATAAGAAAAAGTAATGCACTAACTTTATATTATGAAGTATCTTAACTAAAATGATGAGGTTTTATAACTGAAGTTTCAAATTTTTAATAACATTAGGTGCACAATTTAACCTCATTGCTTACTAATTTGTAACAAATTAACCTTGAAAACAAGTCACTCTGAAAAAATAATACACAGCTTTAAAAGTAAAGTTCAACCTGGATTTTAATGAACAAGTGCAGAGTAATCTGCTTGAGAAAATTTAGGTTAATAAGCAATTACTCACATGGAAAGCAAACTGCCCTGAAAAGTCATACATGCCGCAGGAATGCATCAAACTCAATGTATTTCGAACTGCTTCAGGACTCAGTACTCTTTCACCAGTAATTGGGCAGAAGCCACCATTAGCCAATGTTGCAGCCATCACACTAGCTGATTCACAAGTCACTTCGATGGAGCATAGCTAAAATAAAGACATGAATTCATCTGGTACACTATATACAGCTGAAATATTTCTCTCAAAGGGATGATATTACTAAAAACATGAGGACCTTCTTAATATTTTAATTGGCAAAGTTCTAGACTTTAACATTTATCCTCATTTACCCAAAGTTGTTTTTAAAGGCAGAAAGAAGCTAGGAAAAGCTATGCCCTAAAACAAGGGTTTGATATTGTCTTATGTAATATTCAAATTTGTTTTAATGTTAATGCTTTCTGTGGGTTATGTAAGTGTAATTATTTTAGTACAACAGGGAAAAATAAACCATAAAACATATTTATTAAGATAAAGCAGCACACATCTGATATTACGACTGACAGAATCTATAGGAAAAATGACTATTTTTGTAAAAATATTGCTAAAACAGCAAATTACTATCTTTGTTGACAGTACTTGGACAAAACTGCATGTTATTAATAAATAGTAAATAAGATGAGGTTACTACATTTTACTATCAATCTCCACTATACCATTACCAAAAGTTAAAATTAAAGCATCTTTAAAGACAGGCAACTATATAGTAAATTTAAAAAATGAAACCAATATAATCTTTATAAATCTTAAAATTACATCTGATCAGTGATAGCAATAGTGTTCTTCTTAATAAATTGATCTGAAATAACAGGGAGACAGGAGCAGTCTAATACTAAACCAAGGTCTAAGGCACAGGCTATATGTGTAGTCTGCTTCCTGATGCCCCAGGCATATTGAACATTACCCTAACTTAGAGGACTATTGTACTCATACAATATAACACTGCAGAAATGAGTTAAAATAATTATCCTCTTAGAATTAATTAAGCTAAGACGGAGCAATAACAAAAATGAAAAAGATTAAGTCAATAGAGAACACTGACACATAAAATTGCTAAATATAAATGCTCTAATAAATGAATAGCTTCTCCAAAGCAAAATATAAAAACAAAGAAAACAGAGCTTAGTTTATAATCAAAAGAAATCAATTTCTGGAATAGAAATTATTTTCTAAGTATATTTTCAGAAAACAACTTCCCTATTCCATACTAGGACAAATTTTTAGGAGACAAAAGTCTGCCTTCATAAGAATATTATTTGAAAGTCAATGGAAAATGTACTTTCTCAGTCAGGACTGCAGAGTAAATAGGCAAGCTCATTATACTTCTTCACTATCAATCTCCACTATATCATTACCAAAAAGTTAAAATTAAAGCACCTTTAAACACAAGCAACTTATATAATAAATTAGAAAATTAAAACCATATAATCTTCATAAATTTTCAAATTGTGTCTGATCACTGATAGCAATAGTGTTGTTGATAATAAATTGCAGATCAGCATTTTGGAAAAAAAAAAATCACACAGCTATTTATAGACACAGTTCATAAAATTAAAGTAAATTACCTGGAAATAGAAATCTAGTATACCAACCATGTCTGTGCCTTCTGGAAAACACTAAAAATTAAGAAAAAAATTTAAAAATTAGGTAACAGAAAAAAATATACACACAAAAATATATCAAGTTTAAAATGTACAAAACATTTCATTTTAGTTGACAAAAATTATGAAAATAGCCAATGATTTAAGCATAAATGAAATAAAAAATAAAGCTTGTATCATATGTAAATTTCTAGATACCAATTTAAATGCCAATGCTAAACTGATAAAAATTCACAAATTGTTATTGGATCAATCATGTAAAAGTCAAAACCAAGCCAAGTGCCAGTGGCTCATGCCTGTAACCCTAGCTACTCAGAAGGCTGAGATCTGAGGATCATGGTTAAAAGCCAGCCCAGGCAGGAAAGTCTGTAAGACTCTGATCTCCAATTAACTATACACAAAGAAGTCAAAACTGGAGATGTGGTTCAAGTGGTAGAGTTCTACTCTTGAACACAAAAGCTCAGTGTCCAGGCTTTGAATTCAAGCTCCAAGAAAAAATAAAAAATAATAAAATCAAAGGTAACCAATACTTATCAGGCATTTCACTTTAAAAATATGGATGAAATTGAGCAGAATTTGCATTAATAGGACTAGAGAATATTGTCAGACACAAATCAATTTAATGCTACCATTACAATTTGTTAATGGTGACATAAAAGTATTTAACAGAAACTTAAAAACCTACTGTTGAGTTCTGAGCACATTAATTTTATTAAACAAAATAATGTGAAATAGAAAGAATTACCTTCTTTTCTTTTAAGTAATATCCTATGGCAAAATTTCGATCTCCACTTTCTCTTTCAGATTGAAACCTAAAAGAAAAAAAATGGCTGTTTACTTTTTCTTTTTATAAGAATATGACTTGTAGTTTTATTTGTATATATAAGAACAGTACAAAGAATAGTGAACTAACAGGACTCTTGAATTCTAGTCTTAATTCTGTCAACAGGCTTGTTATATGGCTTTGGGAAAGTGATTTAAATGGTAATTCTTTCCATTTTAATTTTCTTAGCTATAAAAAGACTGAAATGAACTCAAATCCTTTCTAGTATTCATATTTTGTGGACTCAGGACTAATTTTTAAAATTTCAAAACTCCATCATTAAAATATACCAGGCACTTGTGGAATGCTTTGGTTCCCCAAAAACTTAGTTCCAGCTTGGAGAATCTATGTAAATGTCAATGAAAAGAGGGTCACATAAAATAGATCCTACTAGATTAATGGATTTAAGGGAATGTCTGAGCAGGAGTAAAAATTCCATGCATCACCCATAAAACACAGAAAGAATAAAAAGTACATGAAATCACCATGAAAGCAGAGAATACAGAGCTTCATTGAAGAATATCAAATATTCTGATTACCTGGAATATGGTACATGGGAAAGAAAGGAGGTACATCTAACTAGCAAAGGACACTAGAACCAAATTATTAAGGACAGTGAGTGTCAAAAAGTAATGGCTCATGACTGCATACAAAGCATAAGCCTAAAAGTTTTCAAATCAAATTCCTTGTTACATCTATGTTCTGGAAGAGTAACTGATCTGTTTGTCAAAAGAACATAGGTTCAACCTCTAGTATTGAAACAAACAAATGAAGATATGTGCATATTTATGTATGTATAAAAATAAAAACAAGTATACACATGAGAAATAACAAAATAGTACTGAAAACAAAATTTCACGATGTAAATTTTTTTGGTTACAGAGGCCTGACCAACCCAGGCACCAGTGGCTCATGCTTGTAATCCTCAGTGGTTGAGATTTGAGGATCACAGTTCAAAGCCAGCCCAGGGCAGGAAAATCCATAAGACTCTTTTCTCTAATTCACCACCAAAAATTGCAAAGTAGAGCTGTAGCTCAGTGGTATAGTGTTAACCTTTAAGCAAAAAGCTTATAAGTCTCCAGATCCTGAGTTCAAGCACCAGAATCTGCACAAAAATAAAACAAGGTCTAACCAACTATAAAAGCCCTTGTCTCAAATTAAGACTCACGTTGCATTACTGAATCCAACATATTCATTACCAGCCATCTTATTCAAAAACTGCATCACCTATAAGCCAAAATCAGAAAAGTGTTAGTAACCAAGAACTACATATTTAAAGTAGCATGGAAACAAGATACTATAATGTACTTACATAGTCAAACTTTTCAGCGTTATTAACTCCTTGCTGAAAAATAGCAAGAGATATAAGTATGTTAACCACAAAAATTACCAGTTAAGTTTTATGCTATAATACAAATATCCAAACAGCTACCACTGTAATTAATACATTGCATTAGTACTTTTAAATCTAAGAAACACTTCTAAAGTAATTTAATATTTAAACTTTATATGTTAATACCCATGTGTTGAGGGGAAAATAAATAAAAACAAAGCTTTAAGCATATCTTTACTCAACCCTAAGTTACAGAATGCGTTACCCTGAAATCCCCTTATCTTTCATGACAGCATAGTTTGCTTATAGTTAAAAAAATACAATCAGTTTCATCCTTAAAAAGAAATTAGGTACAAATAAATCATGATTTCTAACTAAGAACATTAAAAAAGCTTTTAAGCCAATATTGAATTGCAAAAAATGAGTTATAAACTTACTAATCTTTTATGATTCTAATATATGCAAATATACATTTAGACTCATTTTAGAAGTACAGAGAAAACTTTAGCCTTACTATTTCTTACTTGTTATAATAATAGTTGAACCAAAAAAACCCCAAATTATTTCATAGCTTCTAAATCATTAGCTATAACTGGGCACAAGTGGGTCATGCCTGTAATCCCAGTTACTCAGGAGGTCTAAGGATCTAAGGATCCTGAGATCTAAAGATCACTGTTAAAGCCAGCCCAGGTAGGAAAGTCCATGAGACTTTTATCTCCAATTAACCACCAAAAAACTGAAGTGGAGCTGTGGCTCAAGTAGTAGAGTGCTAGTCTTAAGCAAACTGCTAAGAGACAGACTGGTATAAAAAAGAAAAAAGAAAAATTAGCTACAAGTGGATTTAGCATTATATCAATTTAGAGTATGGAAGATGTATTGTTTCATCATTTCTATTTCTGACATTATCTACTACAAATGTCATTGGGGGGAAAAAACCCAAAAACCTATGTAACGTAGATCAGTTCAAGTAGCCAAATGGTTTTATTTTACCTCGGCGAAGTTTACAAAGCAGTAAGTTGTAGATCTGAAATCAAACGTATTAATTGGTGATATGCACCCAATAGAAACAATACATCTCTAACTTCTAAAACAAAATTAAAATAATGTGACAACTATTCAAAACATTACCCTTAAAAAAATCTAAAACATTACACTTCATATTGTTATTATGGAGAAATATCTGTTTCAGAGTACTATTTAAATGAATAAATCCAGCTTCATTCTCTACTTATAAGATGTTAGGGTATAGGTGACAATGTGAAATCAGCTTATTTAAGAAGAGATATTAATATATACAATTAGTAACTAGAAGTACATCATTCTATTTCATAAAAGTTAGCCATTAACAAAAATTAAATATAATTAAGATAACACAATACAGTTAATTGAGATCTATATATTTTCTCTAAAGCATCTTAGGACAAAATCCATTTTAAACTCTTTTTCTCTTATATCAGAAATCAAAATGTAGAAATGTAACTCCAAAGCTGTTCAATGAAAAATAATTAAAAGAAGAAATTACCAACTTCATTGAACTGTTGCAGTGGTCAAAATATTCCATAGATCCTAATGCTGTAAAATATGTAACAACATTTAAGCCATACAAGCCTTTTTAACCTTTGAAAAAGCACACACACACACACACAAAATCCTTTCGGAAAATGATGTCAAATCAGAATTTGTACTGGAATTACTGGTTATATAATTAATCAATATAAAATAAACTATACTGAACTTTCATCCTTTGATCTAAACTATACACTGTGAAACTACTGTGTTTTCGTTATTGTTCTTGGTTTACCTATAAAAAAAAACAAAATCCATTTCAAACTCAACTTTCAAACTTTATTTCAAACATACTTCGTCCATTTTGTGGCTTCATAAATTAAAGCCAGTAAGTTTTAAGTTGTTTTTAAGAAACAACTTAATGTCTATTATCATATAATATTTTTGATAAACTACTGCAATACCCTAAAGCAGATTATATAAGCAGATTGTAAACAGGACAAAAAAATACTTAATGATTTTTGTGGACTGAAGAGTCTCTTCCCTATTTAAATCAAAAGGCATTTGACTAATGCTTGCTCTTATTATATACCCTAAATACGGCATTTAAATTAAATCGTTTAAGATATATTTGCCCCTGTATCTCTTGAAAAGATTGCATGTACCCCAGAAATATATGGGAACTAGCAATCATAAAACATTAGAGTAAAAAGCTTCTTGACAAAGGTCTTAGAAACATACATGGTCATACACAAAATGAACAGTAAATGTGATTTTCTAAAAAAACAAAATAAAACAAAACAAAACAAAAAACAAGGAGCCAGGTGCTGGGAGCTCACACCTATAATCCTAGCTACTCTGGAGGATTTGAATTAGTGATTGCAGTTCCAAGCCAGCTCAGATGGAGAAGTCCACAAGACTTTTTTTGTGTGTGTATTTTAGTATTTTTTTTATTGTGAAAATACCGTACAGAGGGGTTACAATTATATGACCAAGGTGCATGAGACTCTTGTCTACAAATATGCACCAAAAAAGCCAGAAGTGGAGCTGTGGTATAAGTAGTAGAGTGTTAGCTTTAAGCAAAACATCTTATGCAAATTAGGGAACAGTTCAAACCCCAGGACTGGCACAAAATAAATAAACAAACAAACCAGAACCAAATCCAAAATATAAATTGTTATCAATCACCATCATTATGAAGCAGTGGGGCTAAGGATAAAAAATAGATAATTTTTTTAAAAAGTACTTTCTTTCTCTTCTGAAATAGTAATTGACTTTTAGTTAATTTGTCTGTGGATATTTTCTATTGGTAATTGAGATGAGGATTAATTCTCTTCCTATTTTTAATTTTTACACATATATGAGCTGGAAATAGTTTTAAGTTCTATCACTCAGATCTTTATCTCTACTTCACATACTAAAAATCACATAGTAATCTTCAAAAAAATTACACTAATACTTTTATTCTAATTTACTGAATTAAATCCTATTTCAGTATTTTGAAACCAAAGAAATGGTAATGATCTGGAATAGAACAGTACTTTTTACCAGTCATTACTATGATTCACACCCTCAAAACCAGATTCCAGTATTTCAAAAAGCTGTCTTTTGTTGGTGCCCAAGTTATTTTTATAACCTGAAGTAATGCTCTGTAATAAAATTTGGGACACATGAGAAAATGCCTTTTTGGAAATTTGGAAGCTCCCTAGACCAAAGACAGATTAATTTTAAGAAGAGCACATGAGAAAAAAAAAAATCTAGAAACCGATTTCCTTATGCTATCAATGTCTGTTTATGAAGGCATGCAGTGAAGCATAGGTTTACTCCAGTTAGAAGGCTATAAGCATATTACATGCTTACATCATTTTAATTTTTCAAAGGTTTATACTGATCAGTAGTAAATAGAGGAAGAATTCTTCTAAAGAGAAACTAAACTGGGAAAAATAGACTACTAAAATTTCTAATCTTTTCACAACAGATTTTTTTTTGGTCAGTCATGGGGCTTGAACTCTGGTCCTGGGTATTTTTCCTCAGCTTTTCAGCTCAAGGCTGGCGCTCTACCACTAGAGCCACAGTGCCACTTCCAGCTTTTTCTGTTTACATGGTGCTGAGGAATCCAACCCAGGGCCAATTACATATGAGGCAAACACTCTACTTCTGAGCCACCTTCCCAGCCCCACAAACAATTTTTAAAAACAAAGCTGTGGTTTAAGAACTTTCTTACACTAGAAAATTAAACATTTTTAAACAAGTACGCCTATCAAGTTATAAGAATTTATATACTTAAAACCATGAATGAAAATTTAATAAAAGTTTTAACATCATTAAAAGAATTAATGTAACTATTTTACATTCTCCCAATATGTTCATGAACTAATTCACATTGTCAACAAAGATGTTTAGCAAAAAAAATTAGCTTAAAATATGGCTCATTTAAAGTAAGCACATTTATAATCATTATTTCATAACTCACTTGATTCCACTCCATGAAGATACAAGCCAATTAAAAATTAGTGATCATAGTTTCCTCTGTGATCCTCTAGGAATCAAAAAGAGGTAACTGAAAATGATTTTATAAAATATTCTTTGTTTATTTTGATATAGAAAATGCTTTAAAGATAAATAGTTCTAAAAGAATTAAAAACAGATATTATAGCTAAAAATGATGTTCTATACATAGTATTTTCATAAATTAATCCTAAAAGTAACAGAACAGTAAATTCAGTTGACAAAAATCTACCTTTCATTACAAAAAAGCCCTCAAATGTGTTAACTGACATAACCTGAAGTAAATAAACCAATTCTGTCTTATTAATGTACCAAATGCAGAACACTACCTGTTACTCCTCAGTCACAAACCACCTTAAAAATTTAATAGGTTACTGTAACATGACCAAATTAGCTACATATTCACATTAATTAAACTTGTCTTGATCTTTCATGGAGTGTGACCAAATTGTTTAGAAAAAAAAAGAAAGAAAAATCAGGCCTCAAATTTTCAAATTTGAAAACACTTCTGATATTTAGAACAATCACAATTGAGTGAGGTCCAATGACTCACATAAGTAATAAGGAAGCTGTTTGAGGCCAGCTTGGGCAGAAAAAGCTGAGACTGGATCTATATAATAACTAGCTAAGAGCAAGGCTGGAAGTATGGCTCAAGTAGTAGAATGCCAGCCTAGCAAGCATGAGGCCGTGGTGAGTTCAAAGCCCAGTATTGCTCCCTCCCCCCCATCACATTTCTTCATATGATAAAAGCTGAAAGCTAGACACAAATACAGACTATATGTCTTACTCTATTTAAAAACTAAAAATGCAGAGTAGATATTACTTTTAGTATGTTGCCTTCATTTTCCCACCCTAACCCTCAAGTCAACAGACTTGACTAAAAGTTGATAAAAATTTTTACCACTGAAAGTGTGTATAATGTTACTCATCTAAACATAACTGTGTTCCGTTCAAGTTTATTTTATTCTCTAAAATCAAGCAATAACATAATTAAGAAATAAAACAGAGCAAAATAAAGGTATTCCTTTAAAGTTAGTAGCTCCCACACAAAAAAAGCGAGGAAGTATATAGTAACCCTTGTATTTTTAAATTCTGTGCATTTTAAGTATAAAATGACATTTGTTTTTAAAAAGGTATTTACCTATATAGCTTTGTTTAAAATTTTAAATATTGGAGTTTTTCTATAAGCTTAGTAGTTAAGAATTTATGCAACAGGTTCCTTCTGTCCAAATCCTCCTTTTTTCCACAATCTGCTAATCCTTTTGAACATTTGCTCTGCCTCTTCCCCCATTTCCTGAGGATCACCACCAATCCTACGAGGAAAAAATATCAATACTACAAAATTATGAAATAAAGAGTCTTGCTAAAGACTCCACTTAATTTTCTTTCTTTTCTTTTGGGGTGGAGGGAGTAACATGAGGAGACTTGTTTAATGGCACCATAATAAAAGCCTTGGATTTTTAACAAAAATAAAAATAAAACAACCTTAAGGTCAATTAAAAGATGAGCAAAACAAAATTCACATCAAGTAGCCATGGTAAAATATCCATGCATTCAAACATCATTTGGGCATTCAAACATCATTTGGGCACTCAAACAGCATCTCCTTGGAAAGGAGCTCATTTTATTTTACAGATAGCAGGCACTGAACTGATGTCCAAAGAGTGATGAAATATAACCACTAAAGAATAGATGCAACTTTTAGGCCAATAAATCAGTATCTTTTGTACAAGTTACAAATTAAGAAAGTAGTATTTCTGCTTTTTCTGGCCAATATAACTATGCTAAAGTCAAAAGATGTCATCAAGTGAAATGGTAACTACTATGTTAAATAGGGCACACTGAATTCAAATCAATGAAAGATTTAGTGCAAAGCCAATTCTAGCTGTGAATAACTTATCCAATCTGTTTCCTAAGTTATATAAACCGAGGACTGGGCAATTTCAGCTAGTTTTATTACTTCAATTTCACATCATTACCAATTGATAAATATTACATAATCATACAACTAGCAGAGACTGAATGCAGATATTTACACAACTTTTGACTCCTTTCTTGAAAAGACCCTCAAAAAGTGTTATATTTGAGGGCAATTTACAGAGGGTTGTATCAAGCTTCCTCCTACAATTTGTATAAATTTCAATTAAAAATAGCACTTATGAAACAGTCTATAAACAATAAGAATGACCTTAAACATGAACCATATCCCCAAGGCTCATTACCAACTTTGTCAGTAAATAACTTTTTCTATAAATTCAAAAGTACTGATTAAATTTGCAAATACAAGATGACTCAGTTAAATTTTTGTATGTATGGACACTGAACCACACGTTAAGTGTCTGTATGCTTGTTAAACTCTGTTTCTAATTGTTAATACTAATGTGGTTCAATGTGGCTTATGGCATGACTAAACATGGTAAGTGAAACTAATGAAATGATGGTATGATATGACCTGACATGCAATTTCCACATGCAGCATTCCAGTATAGTTGGTTAAATCCATGAATCATTAAACAAAAAGATTCTTAACTGCATGCAGTTAAGACTTTTTCTATTAATCATTTACACATCCCTTTTTGTGAAAACACTATGGGTGTGCCATGTTAATATTTCTCCAATATACAAGTTCTTAATCTCGGACCTATGGATACTAATGGGGTTAGTCAAGCTTCTAAAAGGATATGTGAAATCATGGTACTTGAACATTATTCTGACATATAATCAATGTTTTTCTAATTTGTTACTTGTTCAAATCTGAGTTATGCATAAAACTGTCTCATAATATATATTGAATCTAATGATAAGGACTCATTTACTCAGAAATATTCCATACTCAATATAAGCTACCTGAGGGCAGAACTGTGCCTTCTACAAATTGTACTGCAATTTTCTACAATAGTTGTTTTACTTGAGAATGACAATTGTTTCTATATAAAACTGCCATGAATCATTAAAGTGAAAAAAATTCCCTTAGCCTATTAAAATTAGTTACACTTTCAAATATTTGGCCACAATATCTGTTTTATAGTAGAATTTCTAGTATATGAATACATAAATCTCTATAAATTGGGCCAAAGTTGTAATTTATCCTCAAGCATTATTTAACTAGGGTACACCATTAGCAGTAATAAATTTAGAAAGCTAATAGTTATGTTTTATTCTAGCTTGGAATAAATAGGCACAAGTTTACTGAGGAAAGAATATAAATGTTCCAGACACAGTAGAGTTATATAAAATTTGTAATTAGAAATTTAAAACTGAAAAAACTAAAAAAATGGTTCTATCATGTGATAGATTTTTACATTTATTAACAGTGGTTAATAGAACCATTTTGAAACATTTATTTCAAAACAATAATAGAGTTTCCAATTATTAAGGCAAACCAAATTAAAAAAGAAATCAACATACACTGTAAACATCAAAACATAACAAAAATATACTTAATAATTGGAATAAGCCTTTTTTCCTATAGTAATGACATGATTTTATTATAACAAATGAAACAAGTTCAAAATGAAAATTATGATTCCAGCTTATGAAAGTGTAAGACTTGAAGATATTTAATTGTCAGTAAAAGTATTTTATCTTAAACTTAACTGGAAATTTGCTCTTGTATATGTTTATAACAAAATATAGTAAACCTTTTAATTTAATTAATATCCATTCATTATAGACGAGCCAAAAGGAAAAGAAAAAAATATTAAAACTTAAAAAAATCTATCCCTCTTATCAATAACCTTAAACTCTACCAGATCTTCAAGTCAAAAGGTAACTAAGTTAGATTTACAATGAGTCATCTGTTTTTCATTTTGGCCTCAAAATTACAACATGCAAGCATTATTTGTAAAATAAAAATTCTAAACCTATAAGGTAACTTTTTTTATCACAGAGAAAACTTTCCATAGTCCTACATACACATTTTAAGATGCAGGTTTACGCCTTAGTTATTAAAAAAGGTTACTAGATTAAAAGGAAATGTCAACATTTTACCTTTATTAATGAAGTCACAACTATTGCTCCAGCATTTACCATAGGATTGTGTGGTTTATCTGTAAAATATCAGAGCAACAATATTATTTCAAATACTTGGAATCATCTTCTTGGTTACACAGGTTCTTTTCACTTAAGTATTAAGTGTTTTGAAATGAAAGTCACCACTATACTTTTTTTGAAGTCAGCTATATATCAAACCTGTGGCTTCTTCTAGAATTCAGTGTTAAAAGTCAGTCTCATACTTCTTGTGTTCCTGTGAAGAGCCAAGATATAGAATCACCCTACATATTCCTCAGTGGATGAATGAATCAAGAAAATGTGATATATATTACACACACACACACACACACACACACACATACACACAATGGAATTCTACTCATCCATCACAAAGAATAATAATGTACCATTCATAAGGAAATGGAAAGGCTTGAAAAAAATTATATTAAGCGAAATAAGCCAGAGCCAAAGAAACAAAGGCTGAATGGTTTCTCTCATTTGTGGTAACTAGCATTTGCCTATAAATCTACAAGTAAATACACTGAGTGATTAAAATAAACACATAAATTAATAAATACACACACACATACTGGGACATGATAAAATTATATGATTCTAGACATACATATACTGATGCCAGTATGAGATGAATGCCAGAGGATAGAATAGGAGTGATTGGCAAAGGCCAAATAGCTATGTGCAGATGATCATATAAAATAATATTCTATGAAATGAACTCCAAGAAAAGGAAGAGACATTTTATAGTTGCCATTGTTGCTGTTTTTGTTTTCTTTTCCTTTTGTCTTGGTTTGTTTGTTTGTATTTAAGAGAGTCAGGAAGGGCACATAAAAGGTGAAACAAGGATGAACAAATACAAGCGATATTCACTAGACACTATGTGAAAAATGAACTGGATATCTTGTGGGTGGGGACAGGAGGGAAAAATCTGGAGAGCGAAAGAGAAACAAGGCTCAAAAGAATTGTACCTCATTACCTAATTCATGTAATTATAACCCCTCTGTAAATCAACTCTACAATAACAAACAGGAACATGAAAGAGTCTGAATAGTGATATAATCAAATACTACTACTATATTAAAAACAACTTCAGAAAACTTGCTCCAAATTTTACTTTTTAAAAAACGTGTGCATGTGTGTGTGTGTCTTTGTGTTTGGGGGTTTGTGTTTTGTTGATTTGGGGGTGGGGGTAGGGACGCTGGTCCTGGAGCTTAAACACAGGGCCTGGGTATTGTCCTGAGCTGTTTTTTGCTCAAAGCTAGCTAGCACTCTACCAGCTGAGCCACAGCTCCACTGCTAGCTTAACTGGAGATAAGAGTCTCATAGACTATGCTTCCAACCAGTCCTCAGATCTCAGCCTCCTGAGTAGCTAGTATTACAGGTGAGTCACTAGCACCCAGCTAAAACATGTTAGTTTTGTACTTCTGTATATACAAAGCATAGAACAAAACACAAGTACAATGACACACATAAAATAAAAAGATAGGCTAAAGAGTATTTTCTATACTAACATTTCCTGATAGTAAATGATATATTTCTTATATAATTAATTACTTTAAATTCAGTCTATCCACAATCCTACTTCTTCTAATTCTTGCAATAGAATTTTCAAATCTTAACTGATTACATTTTCATTCACTGAATAGCAAAAAATGCAAACCTTTTAGAAGTAGTGAAACTATGTATTTGGAAGTGTATGTCCTAATTTATCTGTTAATGGCAGTGATTTATCTCTTCACAAATATACTCTTATCTAACTTGACAAAATTACTAGAATGTATTAAAATATTGCCATATTATTATTACTGTCCTTGAATTTTAAGAGATGTATGTAGTTTAATAACACTGGAAACAGTCTGAAAGCTCTTCAAAATGTTAAACACAGAATTGCTGTATTACTCAGTAATTCTACCTTTAGGTAAATAACCAAGAAAAATCAAATCATATGTTCGTATAAAAACTTGTATACAAATATTCACAGCAGTGTTACTGTTACAAGCCAGAAAATTAAATCAAGTCAAATATCAGGTGGATTAAAAAAACTTGTATTATACCTACAATGAAAATAGGTTTTTTGGCTTTGTATTTTCAATCATAGGGCTTCAACTCTGGGCGTGGATGCTGTCCCTGAGCTCTTCAGCTCAAGGCGAGTGCTCTTCCACTTGAGCACAGTGCCACTTCTGGTTTTCTGGTGGTTAATTGGAGATAAGAATCTCATGGACTTTCTTGCCTGGGCTGGCTTTGAACTGTGATCCTCAGCTCTCAACCTCCTGAGTAGCTAGGATTTACAGGTGTGAGCCACCCGCACCTGGCTGAAAATAGTTTTTAAAGGAATAAAGCTACACCTTTAAAACAACAGCCAATCATAAAAGACCAAATATTATATGATTTCATTCACACAAAATCTCCCAAACAGAAAAATCTATAGAAATAGTAAATTGTAGAATACTAGTTTACAGGGCTGGAAAAGAATGGGAGAATAGCTGCAAATAGATACAGAATTTCCTTGGGAATGGCATTCTAACATTGATTGTGGTGTTGATAACATAGCTTATGAATATAGTAGAAGCCATTATTTTACACATTTTTAATAAAATAAGTTGTGTGGTATGTATGTGAATGATCTCATTAGAGCTATTAATCTTTTTATTAAAAAATTAGAAAAAACTGAGTAAAGTACAGCCTACATTTCCTTCAACAGAAGATAAACAATGTGACTCAGAAGCTACATGAATTGTAAATTGTGAATTCTAGATTCTGCAATCTCACTATTCTGTATTTGCACCCAAAGAAAATGAAATCATTAAACTGAAGAGATATCTATATTCCTATGTTCACTAAGTGTCCATAGATTAGTGAATAGAAAAAAAATGTGGTATAAATATAACAATAAATAATATAAAGCCTTAAAAAGTTAAAAAAAAAAGTTCATTGACAGTTACATGGATAACCCTGAAGGCTGTATCATCCAAAAAATACTGGAGAGAAATAAAAAAGGATAAATACTAGATGGTTTTACTTGTTGTATAGAATCTAAAAAAAATACTGAACTCATATAAGGAGAAAATATAATGGTGGTTACAAGGGCTAAGGATGAAAGGATACAAAATTTCAGTTAGACAAAAAAAGAATAAATTGAAAAGACCTATAGGGTAATGATGATTAAACTTAATAATGATCTATTATATACTTCACACTTAATACTAATCTATTGCATTCTTCATGAGGTAATACACCTGTTATTTGGCTTGGTTTGAAAGTTGTTAATGTACACAAATGTAAGAACTCCTATTTTATAACAAAATTTACAGCAATTGTGCATTCTTAACTTCTCATGATAAATACTAGCTTCAAAAGTTAAAACCCTCATGTTATGGCCAAGTTTTATAATAAAATTTTCACTTCTTCAAAATTATGCTAAGAGGTTTATAACACCTCTGAGTCCACATAAAATGACACTACTTGCTGTTCCAGAATATTTTTACATGTCAAGAGGAAATTTTAAAAATTTTAATAATTCCAAATACAATCTATACTGAAGGAAAAACCACACATAAAATGAAATCTGAATACAGAAATCTGATTGTGCTAATTATTCCTTACTTGTACTATGTAGATATCTGTGTACTTGTTTCACAGCTATTTTTTATTCTGTCTTTTATTTTTATAAACAGTATTGGGTTTAGACCTTACAGACCTAGAAGGCAGATATGTGCACATCACAAAATGGGGTACTAAATAAATATTTTAAGAAATATTTGGGCATAGGACTGGGAAGGTGGCTCAGTGGTAGAGTGCTTGCCTCACATGCATGAGACCCTGGGTTCGATCCTCAGCATCATATAAGTAGAAAAAGCTGGAAGTGGTGCTGTGACTCAAGTGGTAGAGTGCTAGCCTTGAGCAAATGAGCTCAGGGACAGCTCCCAGGCCCTGAATTCAAGTCCCATGACCAGCAAAACAAAAACAAAAAACAAAAAAAGAAATATTTGGGTACAAACTGATAAAATATTCAGCAAGTTTCAAATAAAATACATGTGAAATCTTTGAAAGAATACTAAAATATTCATGGCATGGCAGCCCTACTTTCAGATTAATCATGCTCACTCTCTCTTTTAAGTGCTAATTAAGCATGAACATTTAGAAATTCACAAAAGATAACACTACTCTAACTGCAGTACAGAACAGTCTTATACCTATTTTCTTATCTTCTGTAGGTAAATAGGACCTGACGGGCTAAATTTAGAATTCTTAATCAACGAACATTTATAGAAAGTAGAATGAACACATGCAAATTTAATAAATACTAGTTATGAAATGATAGCATATATTACAGCTTGTTGTGCCAACAAAATAAACTTGAACAATGTTTGAAATTTATGTGCAATTTTAACTAGAATACATAAAACCAATCAGTTTAGATAACTTATTCTTCCCAAACCAAAAAATACCCATAATATTTTCATATTATATTAGCTTTTCAAACTATTCAGCATATGAACCTCACAAAAGACTGGTTCATAATTGAGGCTAATGTTTATACACTTAAGGACAAGTATTCTTTTTAAAAAAAGATGTTCCATTAGAATAGGCATGGTAGTACATTCCTGTAATCCCAGACAGTCAAAAGGCAGATAGGAGAATTGCAATTTGTATTTCTTGAAAATAGTATACCCATCTTCACTCTTACTTCCTTCAATTCTGTATCTTAATGAATTAATCATGTATATAATTGATATATTAAAAACAGAAAACAACCCATGTGAATAGTTTATATTTAGCATCTTTATCAGATCAAAGTACTACTAATTACTTTTTTTACTCCTTTTCTTTTGAATTCCAATTAAAGTAATAAATTGACTTGTAAGTTATCCAACTATTTGTCGGGGTATGTTCTCAGATATTAAATCTAATGGGAGAAAACAAAACCACTAAAAATATAAAAATAAAATCTATCTACTGTCTGGATATTTTAACTAGTACCTAACTTTTTAATATGAAAGCTTAAAAATACATATTATATACAAAGGTAGGAATATAGTCTTGTGAATACTGTTTGTATCTCTAGTCCAATACAAAGCTTTTGTCATGACATTATGTGAACACTCATGTATGATATGAATATGAAAAAATAGAAGTTCTACTCCGTAGTGGAGTTAGCTCCACGATAAAGCCATATCATCTCACTTGTGTACTTTCATATCCAACATTTAATTCAACATTTTATAGGCCCAATGAAGGTAAGAGCCTGAAAAAGTAGACTAGAAACTTATTCCAAATATTAGTAAATGCTTTAATTCAGAATACATATTTCAGAAGAAATATGTTACCTGATTTTTCTCTTCTTAAAAATTTTGTCTTTGGGCTGGGAATGTGGCTTAGTGGTAGAGTGCTCGCCTAGCATGCATGAAGCTCTGGGTTAGATTCCTCAGTACCAATAAACAGAAAAAGCTGGAAGTGACACTGTGTGTGGCTCAAGTGGTAGAGTGCTAGCCTTAGGCAAAAGTGCCCAGGATACCTTGGGCAGTGCCCAGAACACCCTGGGCAGTGCCCAGGCCCTGAATTCAAGCCATGTTTTCATGTTAAGAAGTTGACTTTGGATGTAGAAGACATTTATTTTTAAATCAAAGTATAATAGATCTTTTAAATCAGTTTTTTGCTAAACTGAATCTAAATGATACATCTAAATGATGCAAAAATTACTAATATGGCTGTAATCATACACAGCATTTTCAGCGTTATTTACTGAATTTTTTAGCAAATGCCAGACATTTTGAGATTTTACTGAAAATATTTCTCCTTCATAGGTAATGACAAAGTGAAAATTCTTATTTCTTGCTCTCATCTTCTCCCTTCTCTATTTTCATGGCATGAGATACCTGAGAATAAAGGTGGTAAAATTATCTCTATGGATTTCACAAAAATACCATGACAAATTTTACAAAGTAGCAACTCTTTTAATCTTCAAAATACTTTTGTAATTATTTAAATTTATATAGAAAAATAAAGTATTTCTTACCATCTTCATTTAAAAACAATTTGTTGAATCTTAATCCACTCGGCTCTTTCCCAACATATCTGTGTACATACTCAGTTCCAAGATCATTAACAGCAATGGCATATTTCAAAGGTTTTACACAGGATTGAAGACAAAATGGAACTTTGGTATCTCCAATAGAATGCCTATTTAAAAGCAGATTAAAAAAAATTAGCATCCACCTGAAGGGAAAAAAAAGCCATTAAAACCATAAATGGACTGTTTTTAAATTTTAACGCTAATCTAAGATTTTCCCACAACTGAACCACAAATGTTACTTCAAGAAATGAAATAAATAAAAGCATGTTTAATATGAATACAGAAAAAAGACAAAAGCTTAAAATAACCAGATAATAAAAGTAATAGTTCTAAAACTAGATAAACAAGTAATATAAAAAATTACCTTTTAGGTAAAAAGGGTACTGTCCCCTTTTCCCGACCTATACTCAACCACATAAAATGAACTAGACCTTTCAGAGACTATGTACTTATTGCGGGGGAGGAGGTTGAACTGAGGGCCTTGGCTCTGTACCAGAGCTCTTTTGCTTAAGGCTAGCACTCTACCACTTTGAGCCAGAGCTTCACTTCCATTTTTTTGAGGGATTAATTGGAGAGAAGAGTCTCAAGGAGACTTTTCTGTCCAGGCTGGCTCTGAACTGATCCTTAGATCTCAGCCTCCTGAGTAGCTAAGATTACAGGTGTGAGCCACTGGTGCCTGGCTGTACTTTTTTTTTTTTAAAGTTAGTCTTAAGCCATGAGTGAATTATAATTAAGACTTAGACAAAGCTTAGCTTAGCTTGAGTACAATTTCTTGTCTGTGAGCACATCTTGTGGAACATGTCTACCCTCAGATGCAGCCCCAGAAGCAGTATCCAGTTTTGTGTTTTTTATTATTATTATTATTTTGGTAGATACTGGGTTTTGAACTCAGGACATGGGCACCATCCTTGAGCTTTTTTTTTCCCCAAAGATGGAGTCCTGTGCTTTTTTTTTCCTCCCAAAGATGGTGCTGTATTACTTGAGCTACAACTCCACTTCTGGCGTTTTGCTGTTTAATTGGAGACAAAAGTTTCATGGATTTTCCTGACCAGGCTGACTTTGCACCACATTCCCAAGATCTTAGGATCTTGAGTAGCTAGGATTACAGGTGTGAGTCATCAATTTTATAAACGCTATAGAGCTGCCATGCCACTAAGGTACAATAGATAGTCATTAATATGTAAGTAAAACTAATACAGAAAGTGTTCTATGTCACCAAACCAAGAGGTACATGAAATAGAAAACAGACCTGGAATGAAAAATTTCCAGCTCAATAAAAACCAAACCCTACAAGGGCAGAGATCTTCACTTTAATTTCTGGTATAGACCAGGTGTTCTAAACAACCCAACACATCACGCACACTCATTCATTCACAGTGAAATTCATTCAGTGAAACTAGGCCCTATTAATAATTACCCCAGGGACAGGTGAGCAGACTTCAGAGAACAAACAGAAACATCTGGCCACTTTGCTTCCATGTATATTAAAAAAAAAAGCATGCAATATTTTTCCTATCAAATTTACGCATAATTTCTAACTTGTACTGTGACCTCAACTTTGCAATAATTCTAAAAAATGATTAAAAGTTCTATTTTATCATTATTTGGATCTAAAAATACACGTTCTAGCTTCGAAGTCGATTTTAAGAATTTTCAGGCTTGGGTATGGCTCTAATGTTAAAATGCCTGCCAGCACCATCACCCAAAAAAGAGAACCCTCCCCCAAAAAATAATTCTCTACATTTAAAAACTAGAAAACAGAAAATAAGAAGAAAAAAACCACTGGCACCAGTGGATCACACCTAAAATCCTAGCTATGCAGGAGGCTGAGATCTGAGGACTGCGGTTATAAGTCAGCCCAGGGGAAAAAAAAGGCTGTGAGACTCTTATCTCCAATTCAACTACTCAGAAAAAGCCAGAAGTGGCGTTGTGGCTTAAGCGCTAGAGCACAAAGAGGCTCAGGGGCAGCGCCTAGTACCTGAGTTTCAGCCCCACAACTAGCAAAAAAAAAAAAAAAAAAGGAAAAAGAAAATTCAAAATTGTTATGACATAACAATTTCCTCAATAATAGTATCCCTCTAGTGGATTTTGCTGCCATGTCATCTTGTGTCCTTTTATAACATTCAACTTTTAATTAAAACTCATAGTTTTTCAAACATTTTATGGGCCCAATTGAGGACAAGAGTCTATAATGGAAGGATAAAGTAGACTAGAAACTTGGAGACTCAGGTGCTTTTTTCACCTCTGCCACCATCATGTTGATCTTGGACCACAGATTCTTTATCTTCAAAATAAATAAGCTAAAAACACCTGCTTTTTATTATAAATGCTTCGGAGGGTAATTACTAAAAAAGTATGAAGCACTAGAATAAAGGCAATGAGGAGATTAAAATTTTTTTAATGGAGGTAAAGGCTTTAACTGAAATATTATCTTGAAAAGTAAAACTTAAAATTATATAAGGTAACATGACTTAATCGTTAGTGTTAACAAATTTAGGATTAAATTACCTCTATAAAATAAAAGCCCACTTTACTCAATGATTCATTATACTAGTTATGCCCACCTACAGTCAAACAAAAGTTCCCATGTATACATTATGAGGAACATGAGGAACAAAAGTAATGACAAAATAAGTAAGAAATGGTGACTAATTTTATTAGTTCATTACAGTATAACATGATGTTTTTTAAGCAAATACAAAACAGCAGTTCCTTGAATAAAACTAAAATAATATTACTATAACAATGAAAAGATAAAGTACCTCAAAAAAAACTTAAAATTACTGTTTCAGTTGAAATCTACATTGAAAAATTACACTAAAATCTAAACATATTTACCCTCTTGAAACTCATGTCAAGATTAATTTCCATTATAAGAGATGGTTCTCTTACTGTTAGGACAAGCTTAAACATTACAGTTGGTTGTCATAGATTTGAAATAAACATACCTCTGTCCATCTACTGTACAAACGGACACACCCCACAAATCAGGACTGAACTTGGCCAACTGAGGAATGTAGTCTGCAACCTATCAAAATATGGGAAAGAAATTAACATTTAATATAGGCAAATAATATATTTTCTTTTACTAAAAGAGTTTTATCTCACCTTAGCTTCTACAAAAATAACTAGCTCTGTAGTGGAGGATATCAGGGTAAGATTAAAGGACTTCTCTCAGTCTTCATTACTTGCTCAAAAACAAAGAACTAGCTATGTTCAGTGGTTCATTTTCACAGTAAGGTAGGAAGATTACCAATTTGAGGCTAGCCTAGACTTTATAGTGAGTAGAAGGTCAGCCTAGGCTATACAGTGAGCCCTTGTCTCAGAAAAACAAGAAAAAAACTGGAAAATAAAAAAGAACTTGAACTTGACTTTTTAAAGAAAATCAGGTGCTTGTAGAGTTTCACTATCCAAAAAATTAGGAATATAAAAATAAATAGTAATAATTTATACTGAAATCATCAAGATGTCATTTATAAAGCTACCCAAAGCTAAAAGAAATTAAAAGTTTTCAACAGAGATGGTATAAAATAGGCCCTACTATTATTTGGGGAAAAGAAAAATCTGAATGAAGGGAGAAGTGTGAACCCAGGGTCCACTTTCCTAGTCCTAAAATTATTTTCTAAAATGAGAAACATTTTACTCAATGTTCAAAGATATCAGTAATGTAGAAATTCCCAATAATATAATTTTAATTAAAAGTTTAATATGGGTGCAGTGACTCAAGCTTGTAATCCTAGATTACTGGATCTGAGGCACAAAATAAAAAATTTGCAAGACTCAATCACAACCAATGGCTTGGGCATGGTGCTACATGCCTGTCATCCTCAATAACAGGGGGAAGCATAAAATAGGAGGACAGCAGTAAAGGCTGCCCAGCATAAGTGAGATCCTACCTCAAAATAATCAATGTTAAAAAAAAGGCTGAAAGAGTAGCTCAAATGGTAGAGCATCTATTTTTAGCAAGTTCAAGGCCATGAATTAATAAATTAAAAGCCAGGTGCAGTGGGTCAAACCTATAATCCTAGTTACTTGGGAGACAAAGATTGAGGAATCATGGTATGAGGCCAAACCAGAGAGAGACAGTACACAAATCTCCATCTCAACCAATGGCTGATTACAGTGTTACAGGTATATCATCTTAAACTACAGGGGAGCACAATGAACTGAGCACAATGGCACACACCTGTCAACCCAGTAATTAAGGGAAACAAGTAAGAAAACAAGAGTCCAGATCAATGTGGGCATAATGTGAGACCCTATCCTGAAAAAAATGCAAAACAGGGACTGTTTAAGCAAATACAAAGGCAGTACCACTAAAAAAAACCAAGGAAGTGTCACCTCAACCACTAGAAAATAAAAATTCTTACAACTTAGGTTTTTTATTCCCTCAGAAATATGTTTTAAAAGCATGTTTTAAATCCAGATACTTGATTTAAATTCTTAAATTAAAAAAAAATTGGTGTTGGAAATTTTGCTCAGTGTTGAAGAGCACTTGCCTAGCAAGTACAAGGCCCTGAGTTTACTCAACATCACAAAACAAAAAATAAACAAAACTAGCCAGGCACCATATCTAAAGCCTGTAATCTTAGCTACTCAGGAAAGGCTGAGATCTAAGGATTATAGTTCAAAGCCAGACTGGGCAAATAAATAAGAAAGACATATCTCCAATTAACCAGCAGAAAGCCAGAAGTAGATCTTCAAGTGGTAAAGTGCCAGCTTAGAGCCAAAAAAAAGCCAAGAAGGAGCACAAGGCCCTGGATTCGAGCCCTAATACTAGCACATACTCATATATACTTGTGTATATATATATACACACACATACACACACACACATATATATACAAACACACTTATATATACAACTTTATTCTCTATATTAAGCAATTGGCTTAGGAAAATATACATATCCAAAGTTACCTTTCCTCCAGACTGCTTTTTAGCACTTTCATATAATTCATCAATGTGTGAGGTAAAAGACATAAAGTCAGGAATGACAAACTTTCTTCTGAAGGCTTGGGTCAACAAAACAATGTTGCTTTGAACACATCTGTGGAATGTAAGAAAAATATTAATACACTGGGTGCCTCTCAATTAGTACCTGATAATAACAGCACTAATTAAGAGGATATTAATATCATATTTAAACAAGAGAAATTCATTTTATACTAATATATTTCAAAAAATTACTCCCTTCATATATTATTCCTTCCATCCAGCAGTCTTTCATGTCATTATAAGCTGAACTTAGTAACTTAGATGTTCCTAAAAACTGTGTCATAAAGTAACAGCATTCCATCAGGTTTAAGTACTAGGACAATCTAAAACACTTTTTTATCCTCCCAGTTTTTTGACTCTTTTTAATAGACACTCAGCATGACATTTGGCTAACAAACTTTAAAATATAACAAATGAGCCAGTGCTGGTGGCTCACATATGTAATCCTAGTTATTCAGGAGGCTGAGACTGAAGGACCCTTTTGGGCACGAAAGGCTGTGAGACTCTTATTTCCAATCACCTGGGGGGAGTGGAGCTGTATCTCAAAAAGATAGAGTGCTAACCTTGAACAATAAAGCTCAGGGACAGCACTCAGGCCCTGAGTTTAAGCTCTAGGACCAGAAAAAAAAAAATCATAGATGAGACTGTTTACTTTTCAATTAACTTCAAATACATCCCTCTTAGTTCTAGTAAAAATATTTCATTAAAAAAATTAAAATTTCACATTCATTATTTTTCTTTAGAATTTTGAAAGACATATTAAGGAGAGAAACTAGAGACAAAGACAACCTTATATAGTCTGACTAATGAAGTTTGACTGAAATACTTAAATGATTATAAAAGTAATATCTAATTTTAAATAAAGTTTCACACAAAATACCATAATAAATTTTATAACACCTGATAAACTAGAATGCTAAGTTACATTGTTCTATTTGATATAAGATATACAATACATGGTCAAGTAAAAATGTTAAAACCGATTTCAACTTCATGGTGAGCCATGTGATTAGCAGAGCATGAAATCTAGTGATTTCAATATTTTTCTGTGTAATAAAAAGGACTTAAGCCAGAAAATCAGCACACTAATGTAACCTTAAAGAAACGTTTCATAAATGGCTTACAACCATCCTTATCACTCTGAGATTAAGATAGCTTCAGATTTCTGAGTCTTAGTAACCCAGTAATACAATATTTAATCAAGGAAAAGATGCTAGACATGTAAACAAAACCATAATATACACCATAATAAATCTTAACAGATTAAGATTTGAGTGCTTAAAAGATAAAATAATCAAGTGTCGAAATACTAAGCCAAACTATTATTATGAGAAGTTATTTATGAAACTGGATTCCTCACAGATAAGCAATTTGATACTACATTGCCATATCTGAACAACAGACAAAAAGTCTTGGCTTTCTTTTTTAAGTAAGTACTAAGTTACAGGTATTATTTTGTTTAACCCTCAAAATATTACTGCTTTGTAAGGAATTTCTCTATTTCACAAATGTACAAGTTCTAAATAAGAAATTTTCAAATTTCAGTATCTTAATTCAAGTTCTAGATGAAACACCAAATTAAAAACCAGGTTTCATACTTCCAATGTTAATGAAAACATTATATATTTACTTCTAACATGAACTTAATATACAGATTTAAAATAAAATTCTAATGCATAAAGGACTATAGTTTCAGTGATAAGGATCTAATACATTAAAAAACTAACAATTTCTACTCTATAAATGTAATATTAGCTGACATTCTAGAGCTAACAAATATTTTATTAAGCTTCCAAACTTTAATAAATTTCAAGTAGTTTCCAAAACAAAATGTTAATGTTAAAACTAAAATGTTAATGTAATATATCTCAGATATTTACAATAGCTTCTAAAATTTCAACTTGAAGTATCAATTTTGCAAGAGAGTATCAAAGGAGACCCTCTTCAAAAAGCCTAATTCCCAAGCCTGCACTATTATCTTTGTATCAAATCAAATGTCTTCATTTTATAAGAAGTTACAAATGAAAAGGATCAAATTCAATGAAGCCACTATTTGAATCTAATTAATCAGAATCTTTAAAAGGAGGATTTAAGGCTTATGAGTATTTATTGTTAGCAATATTTGGATTTTCTCCTTTGTCTTGCTTTATCTAACAGAAGGTGCTGGCCAAAAAAAATAAAATAAAATAAGCTATGGCAATAGCTTTAATGATGAATTACCACTGATGGGAGAAAATATAACACTTAAAAGTATTATAATAACTTCATACTGATAAATGCTTCAAATAATTCCTTTTTTTTTTTTTTGCCAGTCCTGGGGGCTTGAACTCAGGGCCTGAGCACTGTCCCTGAGCTGCTTTTGCTCAAGGCTAGCACTCTATCACTTGAGCCATAGTGCCACTTCCAGATGTTTCTGTTTATGTGGTAATGAGGAATCAAACCCAGTGCTTCATGCATGCTAGGTAAGTAAGCACTCTACCACTAAGCCACATTCCCAGCCCAAATAATTTTTTTTTAATTGTGAAAATATTGTATGGAGGGGTTACAATTACATGGGCAAGCATTGTTGCCTCCCCCTTTGTTTCCCCTTCCCATCCCTTCCAATATTTTTCTTGAAAGTTATTTTAAATATGTCATTAGTCTAACTGGGAAATAAAAAGTCATATAAAATGAATTGTTAGGAGGAAATACTTATGAGTTACATCTTTGTGTTCTGTTTAGACTTTTTTAACTGTTTATTAGGAATAATAATTTCCTTTTTAAATGTTTAGGTCTAATAGCTATATAGCACATATCAATGTTTTACAACAGTTCATACACATGATTCATCAATAAAGTAACATAAGAATTTTTTTTTAGAAAACCAAATAATTACAAATGCAGACCACACATTTTCTAAACAAAAAACAGAAAATTATGACCAGAGATAAAAACAGCCTTATTACTTATAAAGTTAAAACATGTATGAATAAAGAAGCAGTTTTCAGCATATTTTTTACTTTTATTAAAGGATTATTAACACTAAAAGCAACTGACTATGTAGCTGGGCACAGGCAGTCAAAGACTGCAATATAAAGAGTGTTAGAACTCATTTTTCCATTTAAAAAACAATCATACATCATAGTATCTCTCTCATTACTACAATGGCCTCACACTTGCTAGACAGGTAACCTACCACTTGAGCTGCATCTCTACCTCATTTTTGCTTTAGATAACTTTTAGAAAGGATCTCCCTTTCTGCCCAGAGCCAGCCTCAGACCATGATCTTCCAACTTACTGCCACTGCCCCCTGCACAGTAAGAGGTAGGCTTATGCCACCATATCCCTCTTATTTAGATGGAACCTAACTTTATGCCTAGATTGGCCTCCAACTATAATCCTTCCACCTCCCAAATTGTTGGAAGTATAGACATGAGTATCTGACAAACTCCTTGAGTATTTTAGATGAAACATCAACACTTTAACTTCAACCAAAACTACCCACCTTTATATAAATTCACATTTTAACACCTCCTCCCTAGCTGTTTGGAGGTGAGATATTTTGCTTCTGGAAATACAAACTAAATAACTTCTTACATTTGGAAATAGAAAAGAAACTTCTCTGAAGTGATTATCTTTCCAGGTGATCTGAAAAGGTTATTTTGAGTCACCTCATTCTAGTGAAGAAAATAAAAATCCTGTGGACTACTAATATCTGTACTTGGACTACGAAACACATGTCAAGTTTGGAAGTGGTTGAATTAAAACGATAGATTTTTGTAAAAACTGTGTTAACATTTACTGTCTGTTAGTATAATTATAAATGGAAAATTTTATAATTAAGCTCATTTGGCTTCTTAATTCAGAGTATTTAAACTGCTTTTAATTTTGTATAAACCTAACATGTTTCTTTTGTTTTTTAGCTTTCACATCAACTTTATTTTCAGAGCCAACCTGTGTGAGCTAACAAATGCCAACACTGTCAACTACTGAATTATATTCTTTTTTACATGTACCAAAATCTCATATTCTTCTGGGTTGCAAAAGAGGATTTACTGTTCACATCTGTAAGGCTTTATTACAAATTAAACAAAGACACACACACAGAAGTGCTCCTAAACATAGCTTGTTTCTAAAGCACAGAACATTTTGAATAGAATTAAATATGTAAAATATGAAACTACTTAAAACTCCAAAGTTAGTTTCTCATACCTATTATCTACAAATATATCTGCCACTTGCAAGCTATATTCACAGATAAAGCAAAATAACTCCCCAAATGACACTACACGTTGCATACATCACTAAAAATAAAATAATCCCTATTGCAAAGGAACAAATAAGTCTAGAACTAAACTCTCTCCCTCCACAATGAAAAAGGATTCCATAGACACAAAATTCCAATTGCAAAGCAAGACTAATCGGCACACTTTAAAATCAGCTGAGGTAACAGAACCAAGAATGTTCTGAGAAAAGATAAAAATACAAAACTGTAAGCAGTGCTTTACAGCATGTTAGGAAACTTAAAAGGATCTCAATAAAATATTTATCCCTTCTTATAACTTAATGATCTAGGACATTCCCAGGAGATATCTACAACTTGTCATTCAACTCCCCCTGTTCTGAAGAACATAAAGGGAATTATATACACATATACAAATAAACTTTCAAAGTAGATGCAGAAATTATTTGGGTCTACTTCACTTTTAAGCCTTTATTGAGTACATCCAAACTGTAAGTGATATCCAAAGTAAGATGATTTAGAAAAGGCCGGTGTCTTGATTTTCACCTTCATGCAAGTTTCCTTAGTGGTTCCCTCTATTAGTAATTTAAAAATATTTAACTTTACAATGTATTACAAACATGCTGTCCATTAAATTTTTATTCATCAAACTAAAATGAGTAATGAAGAAAATAAACACGCAAATACAGAAATGTCAAAAATGTTCCCATTCAACCAAATTAAGGGTTTTAACCTCCCAAATTGTCTTTAGTTCTTAACTGTGAGAGAAATTAAAAGTCAAAAGCCCATGTCTTAATATGGCTAAAGAAAGAGAAGCATATAATGTCCTATGTAAATCTAAGAAACACAGAGCTATATGAAGCTCTGGAATGTCCTTTAAATCACCTTCTAAATAAAAAGAACTAGGAGAAAGCTTGCAAGATGTGCAGATAGTGTTCAACAGAGCACTCCCAAACTGTACGCAATATCCAGGTAAGATAAACTGGAAACATCCACAGCTAAATTTCCTTACCACAGGTTTAAAGAAAATACATTGTTAACCCATTATACTCGTATATAATACCATCATTGTTCTTCAAATAAATCCAATATGTAGAAAGCACTGGCCTTCAAAGATGCAATATTGTTTTGAAAGCAAAATCACCACATAACAGCAAATCACCATTAAAGGTTTGGCAGAAATTTTTACTTTTTAAAAAGATCTTTGTCTAGCATGACACCATCTGATGTTGTTTGAAGAGTTAATCTTAACATATCCATACACTCTTTCAACCTGGGATCAGACGTTCGCAATCCTGTAGATTTGAGTGCCTGTTTTTAAAAAAATAAGAGTTTGTAAATATATAGTGCAAATAATGTATATGCTTATTCCAAATACAAGTTTTAATCCTGTGCACAAAAACATCTACCCAAGACTTGATCATGTATGTGGCCTTTGTGTCACTATTACCCAATTTCTGGACAAGTTTCTCATTGTTTCTTTCATTTTCTTTCACTGATTACCTTGAAATGAGCATGATAAAATTTGAAAACATAGTAAGAGAAACAATGTCAGTCAGAATCTACATATCAGATGAGATTTAAGATTATATTTCAATAATACTCCATTACTGATTTAATACTACTAAACTTCTTAAAAGTTAAGATAGAAAAATATAAAAACTTACTGTAATAAATTTATGAACAGGTATTTTTTCTTGTCCTTCAGCAATTGTATAGAACAGCAAATCTTCCAAGCTAGGTAACAGACCCTGTTTTATTTTACTAAAGGGGAAGGAGAAAAAGAAAACATTATTAATTCCTGTGCAACTATTTTAACTAAGTCCATTATTAATTGTTGAGCCAGACTACAGCTAAACTGATCAATTAGCCAAGATTAAAAGTCATAATATAAACTGATTTACCAAAATGACACCAGTATCACTAAAAAAAATAACTAAGGGTGGGAAGGTGGCTCAGTGGTAGAGCGCTTGCCTTGCATGCCTGAGGCCCTGGGTTTGATTCCTCAGTACCACATAAGAAAAAAGAAAAAAGCCAGAAGTGGCGCTGTGGCTCAAGCGGTAGAGTGCTAGCCTTGAGCTGAAGAGCTGAGGGACAGTTCAGGCCCAGAGTTCAGGCCCCATGACCAGAACCAAAAAAAAAAAAAAAACCTAAAAAATTATTACATAGGTATTTATTTACTCCTAAGATTTGAAATCCTATTTACCAAATCTACAGTGGTCTAATGCCTAGCAATGTGTTACAGTAATGCCTTCCTATAAAATCCAGTATAATCAATCAATATTAACCCCAGAGTTCAGTAATCATCCAGGTAAGGGTCAACATCATGATTTTTTAAAATATAATTATTGACTATAATTCCAGTAGTGAACCCGATTGTAGAATCTGAAAGGGACAGTAAAGTTCACAAAAGAGATTGAATTAGGGCTGGGAAGGTGGCTCAGTGGTAAAGTGCTTGCCTTGCATGCCTGAGGCCCTGGGTTCAATTCCTCAGCACCACATAAGCAAAAAGAAAGAAGCCAGAAGTGGCACTGTGGCTCAAGTGGTAGAGTGCTAGCCTTGAGCTGAAGAGTTGAGGGACAGCACCCAGGCCTAGAGTACAGCCCCAGGACTGGACCCAAAACACAAACAAAGAGATTGAATTATACAAACTATACAGACTATTAATTATAAGTTTTATCATAAAAATACATTAACATTTTAATTAAACTAGAACAATATAATGCTAAGGTTAATAAAATTTTTGTGTGGCTTTGTCATTTCTTGTGTAGGAACTGAAAACATTTTATTATTCAGAATATCAATGATTATCACAAACACCATAGTGATATAAGGAAGGATTATATGTCTAAGATCAATCTACTCCCCCACCAATTATATGATGATTAAAATGTTAGGAAAATATACAAATACATATATATTTGTATGTATAAAACAGAATACAAATATAAAATATTCAGGAAAGGCCTTTATCTGAGTTTCAAGAAAGAATTTTAGAATTTAATATAGTCAGTTCTATATCCTTGAGATACAGATATCTAGTCATTAAGTTCAGTAGAAACTTTCATAGGAAAATTATTTTATTTTGTCTACAAAACTGGCACAATCCTGCCTGTTTAAAATTATATAGATTCCTGCTTGAGTTAACAATTATGTAGTAGTTTCATATATTAATATAATTGAGTATACTTAGTTACTTTCCAAACTACTATTGATCTTTGTAATTCTATCTTAAAGGACAGTAGAACTTAAGAGTTCTCAAAGGGAATATTTATGTTGCCATTAATATGTTTTCAAAATTTCAAACAAAATTTTAGTTTTAAAAATCAACCTTAAAATATATGAATTTTTTAAAATTAAGGTTATTATTTAAAAATTCAGTGACATGTCTTGTATATATAATTATTCCCTGAAACAATTTTTGCTACTGGACAGTTAAAAATCTGCAGTATTTTAAGAATAGCTGAAAGTTGTTGATCATTTATGTTCTAGATATTACTAGGTGCTTTACATACACTGTAATCTTCTATTGATCTTTTGATAGAGACAATTATTATATAAAATGCAAGACTATTTCCTTGGATGTCAGACTTAACAAATTTATCATTTGTTAAAAAGAAAAGAGTATTTCTATTTCAAGGTGAAGAAAAAAAAGTTGAAAGAAATTAAGAAACTTCCCAAGGTTACACAGTAGTAGCAAAGAATTTAGAATATCTGTTTCTCTTAATGTAGAGTTCAAGTACTCATTACTACACTATGGTGAGTCTAACTTACTATTTAATTACTACATTTATAAGAAACAATTTTTCTAGGTCTTATCTTGATCTAATACCCTTAACAAAGTTCAAAAATACTGATGATCTAACATTTCAAGAAAAACTGAGCCAGCTGTCAAAAAATTCATGGATGATAACATTCCAATTATTTACAGAAAATGGTTTGTCAAATAAACATCAGAGAGTGGCAGTTTATCATTTTTAAAAAGTGCAGAATAAGCTTTCTACATATTTACCACACCAGTAAATGGTATTTGCTTTGTCTAAAAGCTATGTAAATAACATAAAATATACACTTCTTTAGCTTATGGTACCTAGTGCAAAAAAAATTAAAATGACCATGTTATTGCCATAGCTAACAAAAGGGTAAATATACTTGCTCTGGACAAGAAACTAATTTTTATCCAAAGGAGAAATAATTTAAGCATGCCTAACAATTGTCAAAATCTATATTTAAAAAACTTCAGCATTTAAAGGCTAAACCTAAGCCAGATACAGGTGCTCATGCCTGTAATCCTAGATACTAGGAGGCCTAGACCTGGGGATCATAGTTCAAATCTAGCTTAAGGAGACAAAACTAAGACTCTGATCTCCAATTAAACAGCAAAAGCTGAAAGTGAGGTGTAGCTCAAGTGGTACAGTGCCTGCCTTGAAGAAAAGACTATCTTGAAAGAATGAATTACAATCAATATTCTGATAAACAGAATACAAATATTCTCCTCATCCTTTCAAAATCATAGAAATTTTACCAAATTTTATTCTTACCTTACTGTCTTTAATGTTTTTATCATAAAGTACTTGCTATTAAAATACAAATGCTAAAACCTAGTTTTCAGAAACTATATAGTTAACTATAAATTTTCAAATAAAAAAAAGATTATAGGAGGCTTTCAAATTGTATACTCAGTGATTATAAATCCAAGTTAGCCTTCTAGATTCTGTTCTTATTTCATAATAAAATTGTTATAATACTTAGGAAGTAAAATGACATACCTACAAGACAAATCCTACCATTCTTTAATACCTTTATATTCTTTCCTTGACTTTCTCTTAGTCTCTCTTTAATTTCTGCTTTGACCAATCCTTTTACTACCACTGTTATACTTGCTCTTTTACTCATTCATCTCCCTACATTAAACATTACAAAATAACTGCCTTTAAAAAATGTGAAGAGGGTAGGGAGTGTTAGGGATAGAACTCAATAATAATGTTCTTGCCTTGCATGTGTGAGGCCCTGGATTTAAACCCAAATACCACAAGAAAGAGGAAAAGAGGAAAGATATATAAAGGTATATATACAGCATTATGTTGGGAAATTTTAAAGTCTAGAAAGGGGACAAGGAGGCATGTATGCAATGAGAAATTACAAGAAAAGAGTTAGGAAATCTAGACATTGGACTGACTCCACTATGATAATAAGATGGCTTTTTAGAAGAGGTGGTTTTATTTTCAACCTGAAAGATGTATTGAATCTGAAAGGTGGTTTTATATTGAACCTGAAACATGTTAAGCACAGCAATAGAGTAGGATTTCTGGCAAAGAAAATTGACTAAAAGGATAAAGGCAGGTATTCCTAGGCTATACAAAGACTAGATAACACAACACAGGATGTATATGTTTTTTTTATTTCTAAAAGTTACTATAGTGTCTATTTTCAAGGTTGAGAAAGATTAACCAGTAAATGGGAGGAGACTATGTCCTCCTCCCAAAATAGATACATACAAAGTTTAAACTCAGGTCCAACTTCTACAACATGAAAAGAAGCAGTGTTTTACTCTACCAACCAGCCATGTCCAATGTCACACAAATAAGTCTCTTCAATAGCTGGAAGAGAAGCAGCCCCAGAAAGCTAATCCTAATCCTAGATTTTAACTTTCTTTGCACACCAACTATATTCAAAATAGTTGTTCAGTTGTTAGCAACCTACTTTAGGAGGAATAACTGGAATTCTCTCAGAATGAAAGATGAGGTCTATACCTATTGAAGGACTGTCAACCTAAATTCAAACAAGGGAATTACTCATGTTAGATAACTAAATTTTTGTTCTGCCTTGTTAAAACTGTATCCTGTATGAAGCAAGGATGAGCTTTTAAATAAAAGCTGCTGTTTTAATTGGGCTTCACTAAAGAAATTTATTTAAAAGCCATAGTAACAAGCACATGAGGAAACATCAGAAACAGGAAGCAGTTTACCTGTTTCAGGAAGGATAGACAAGGACCTAGCCAGGTTAAGTCCAGAATGCCTGTGTCTTTCTAACAACAAAATTATTCCATATGTGTACTGTAGTAACATATTCTACTTTGAAAAATGCAGGTATTGTATATTATTAAAGTGACTTGTTCAAATGAGTAACTAAAATACACAGGAATAATAAAAAGCACCTTTCAGCTACACCAAAGGAGAAACAAAGCAGCTCTAAACATGAAATGGGTTGCCTTTCTACAGGAATGAACTCTTGGTCAGTAGAGATGAGTGACAACAATCTGTGTATAATGTAACAGAAGAGGGGAAAAACAGCAGCAGCTGAAAAGATGGGTTTTTAAGATCACTTCCAAACATAAACATAAAAAAGTAATCAATTCAATAAAACTTTATTCAACAGCTAATAACAGGTTTAAAAACAAGTTCTATAACTGTAGGAACTTGGTTAGATAATTTATTGGCAATACTTCATAAAACAGGTAAAATTAGTATTAATGCTCTTTAAAATCACTTCCAAAACTAATTGTTTTTGAGTTGCTAAAAATGGAATTCTAAATTTCTCTTAAAAATCATAAACTTTAAGGCTCATGTACCTTTATTTTACTTCAGACTTACTTTGCTTATATTCCTGAAAAGTATGAACAATTTATGAATGCTTCATACAATTTAAGAACAACAATTGTTCTTAAGAAAGTTTCTATTTTGTTGCTGTTGCTGTCAGTCTTAGGGCTTAGGAACATTGAGCATAGGCATTGTATCCGAGTATTTTTGCTCAAGGTAAGCACT